AACTAATCTGGGGGCTCTTGATTCTATATTTACTGCATGTAGTCTTTATGTTTCCTCTTTCATTTTGATTAAAAAAACCTCGTCTCTCCTGCCTCCTACACTATAAAAGTGATAACTCATGATACTTTCTGATCTCCTATAATTTTAATACCTAAAATAAAATGTCACTGTACATGAGACAGCATATTGAAAATGCAGATTTGATGCTGTTGTCAGCAATTGGCAGATATTTATTTTTGTGATCTGCTATCGCCGATCAGTTCCCTAAATACTGACCAGTGCATGTTCATTAAGCTTTTATCAATCAGTCAGGCTTCATTTAGTTACATTCAGAATCTGCTGAAAGGAGGGTCTAACAGGGTATAAAGAGACAGAGGCTGGTCACCTTGAATTTTAGTAACTGCAAAATATGGTCCAAGTTTAAAGATGGTGTACAAAGTACTGTTTTTTTTTTATTTGCTTTAGCAAAAAAGAGTTAATTTTCCAAGATGCTTTGCTTCTATAAACATTAAATTCATCTTACCTGTGAGAGGTTGCGTGTCTTCTTCCTGGACAATAGTTTCCACTTCTGGTCCATAAACCTCCTCTGCTGTGGGATAGTACTTCTTGTCCTCGTGCAGGACCACCTCCATGCCGGGTACATTCTCATCCTCATCCGCAGGCTCGTCGTCTTCATCTTCATCTCTCTGTAAGATATCAAATCCATGGCAGGTTTCTACTAAAATCTTTAACAACTACAAGCAAGATGAAATTGATAGTACCTCGTCAATGTCCCTGTCCTCTGCATCCAGATCATCTTCATCGTCGTCAGAGTCCAGCTCTGGACCGATGTAATTACCAAACTCGTCATATAGATCGGCCTCCATCTTCTACAAAACTGCAAAGGATATCAAATATTTCACTGAGTTCACCTTAAAGCTAAAATAGCATCTCTGAAGAGGTTTCTGTCTTAAAAATGTACAGTTTGTTACTTAGATAATTGACACCAGGATAAGTGATGTTCAAACTGTTCCCACTTGAAATATGAGGAATATTATGTACTATTTAGTCAAATTTAGCAAGTGGTACAAATTGTGGAAAAAAACATGGCTGTAAAAACATGCAAACAAGTGGTAGGAGTTTGTTGGCGTCTCATATTCGAACTATTGTAAAAATCTTAAGAAATATATCTTAAGATTCTAATAACATCTTATTCACAGGTGATTATTGGTGAGATTACTAAGTCATGATTCAGCCATTTAAAAACCTTAATTTTCTTGTAATGCTGCCATTACTTTGATGATTTAGATTGTATGCTTCAGGTCACTGTTCAGTATCTTATCAATCCAAGAGGGAAATTAATCTAATTGTAATGCCAGTTCCTCTTGAGCTAAAATACTCACAACATGCATCCATCTTAAAATAAAACTAATTTCCATTTAATGTATCAACAACCCCATAACATGATACTGCCACCACCATGCTTCATATTGTGCCTAATGATATTTGGCTTTGGTAATACAGATTAACAACGTTTTGGTTTGGTTTCTTTTATAAATGTAGAAAACAATCAGCTCTTGTGCTTTATTTCATGCAATTAAATTGCATTTTTAGGAATTCATTTCAAACGACTGAAATAAATTATAAATGCAAAGGAGTGCAGATTTTTACAAGGGATGGTTGCATAAAAACTAGGCGCCTGTACTTATTAAATAAGATAAAGGAAATGATAAGCTTAAAGATCAATTTTATTACATAAGTCAGGATCTTTGTGTTCACCGTTTAAAAAGATCGATGTTTTTGGAGCAAAATAAAAACAATTGAAGCCTGATAGAGACTTAACCACAACAGCTAATGCTAACACCGAGTGTCGTTAAGGGTTGAGGATATAGCATCCCCGGTGTTTAATTCAAGGAAGTTTCGAGAGAACAATAGCAATAAGTTGACAAAAATTTTATATAATCTTCATGTTCGCGACAAACCAACAATAAACTGAGCTATTAGGTAAGTAATTCAAGGGACTACAAGCTACGTAAAAGATACGTTGCAGTTCAGCTAGCTAGCGAGAGCTTCTAGCTCTTATATAAATAATAAATGCAAAAACATAATAAAAACACGCACCTGTGTTTTGATATAAAGCGGTGAAAAGTGTAGATGTTCCCAAACAATGAGTTGAATATAGTAATAAGAAATCAAATGCTCATTCAAATAGCGCCATGCGCGTGAGACGCCGCTGTTGTATTTCTTCTTCGTGGGGCGTATATCGGCGTGTTTGGCTTCGTTCAAAGGACATTAGCGACACCTACTGGACTGGAGTATAGACAGGACTTCAACTCAAACCAGAATCAGCAGATAACAGCAGGGGCGTGCACACATAGACACTAGGTGGTGCTAAAGCACTAGGAAGTTTGCCCTCTATCAAAGAAAATGCCCTTTTGAAACTCGTTTTTTTATTATTATTATTATTAATATTATTAAGATTAAGATTTTACTGAGGTCGGTTTTGAAATGATCTTTTGAAAACCTGAGCCATTAAAAACGACTGAAACAATGCCCCGAAATGACCGACCTACTTGCGCACACCACCAACCAGCCTCTCTCTCTTCCTTTGTCACGTGAACTCGCTCGGTCGCCCGCAGGGCATGCCAGATGCACAGCATCATAGCAGTTCAGTAGCGTCTTCAGATAGCAGGAACGGTCGCTGACAGGCTGCTTCTCCCGTCCCCCATTAGCAAGCAGAATCATTTTGTTGTGCATTAAAATGTCTCATTCAGCAGCACCAAACACGCATTTTGCCGACTGGTCACCAGATAAACTAGTTGTCTCCTTGTAAGATGCTATTTTACTTTTTATATTTTGTATCCATATTTTTTATCTTAAGTGTATACATTAGTCTATTTTATTGCATGACGTATACCCACAGTTTTTAGATATTTTTATAATTTTATTTACCTATTCCATATTATATGTTTCATGTTGCACGATTGTACCATAAAAAATTCCTAGTTTGTGAACTCCTTCACTAACAATGATTCTGATTCTGAAAGTTTTACACTGTAGCCCAAGTCAATGACAGATAACGTGAGGACGACCACATAGGCTACAAATAATTTTGGTAGGGTTTGCAATTGCAAATACGGAAGAGGATTAGGGCCACTGAAAAAAAAAATAAGTTAACTGATTTTTAAATTTTATTTCAGTTTAGTATGGGAAAAAAGTCAGAATGCTGACTTTAATCTCAGAATTCTGACAATAAAAAAGTCAGAATTCTGACTTTTTTCCCATGTTAAACTGAAATAAAATTTAAAAATCAGTTAACTTTTTTTTTTTTCAGTGGCCCTAATCCTCTTCTGTACAAATCTATGTGTTAAGACAAACGTTTTCTGTTGTATAGGTTTTGTTAGGCAACATAAATTAACACACTTTGGTCTCTTTATTGTCTTAATTGTATATTGATTTAGTAATTGCAGCACAATGCCAAGAAAGGAGGGTTAATCATATTGAAAAATCTTAAAAGCTGTTCACATTTTATTTTTAAGTGGTTTGTGCAGCAGGTATTAAAATAGCTATTATTTTGTAGGCTACCATAAATCATATCCACGTGACAAGACTTCCAGTCATGTTGCCCTAATAGCCCATTATTTAAACTAATGTGGCATATTTGTTAAAGCTATTATTATTATTATCATTATTATTATTGTCATGATGGTTATTATTAATATATTGTAGCCAGTCACAGCAGGGAAGCTCTATACCATCAACATCTACCAGGACAGGAGATGAGGAAGAGTTCAGGGAAGACACAGAGACAGAAAAAGACCAGGATGAGGGAGAACAGATGGGTGAGGGAAAACAGGGAGATGAGCCAGATGAAAGAAGTATGCTTTAGTCTGTTCTGTTGGTGATGTGACTTTTTTCCATTGAAAACTCACGTTTAGAGAATGTTACAAATAAAAGTCAAATTTCATTCAACATGCGTTTATTTTTTTTATAATTAAGTGTTACACGTGCGCTAAAAAGTGCCCCCCCCCCTCCTGAGCACCTGCCCCCCAAAATGTCTGTGCACGCCTCTGGATAACAGTTTTGTATATGTGTGTGTGTGTGTGTGTTTTTTTTTCCCAAGACACAAGTTAATGTTATATTTCCATCACATAAATTTAAAACCTCTATTTTGTATAATATTTTTTTCCTAACCTGTATCTTGTCTTGTTCAAGTGCTTTGCAGACCATGAAAACATACTGAGCAAGAATACAAGGATAAAATAAACCTGTGAGATGTTTTTCACTTATTTTCAGTGTCTTTTGTGACTTTTCATGAGACATGTTCAATGTATTGTTTCTTTTTTCTGTTTTATTAACATGTCTTTCTGTGACATATATTCAGTGAATTTACCTATCCCCATATGGGTAAACCTTATACTGTTTTTTTGTGTGTGTGTTTGTTTTTTGTGTGAATAGTATATTGGACTTGTTACATCTGACTCAATAGGATTTATGTGTTTAATTACTTAATATCTTATTACAAGCCACTGATTTCACCACGTTGCATTTCTTATTGCCCACTCTTCATAAAGAACCGATCATCTAACTAATAGGCTTGTTTTTTCCGCAATTTTAAAATCATACAAGCAAGTATAATCATCACATATAAATTGAAAAGGTTTATAGAAAGGTCATTGAGTGGGAAGTGCTTATTTCTTGTGTTTTCCTCATATTCCAGTTTTCTTTTCTTTTTATATCAAAATTTTATCACTGACAATACCATGTGCAGCACCTTGACAATGACAATTAAAGTAATAATTATTATTATATATTTATTCAGGAGTATTTATCAAAGCTAAGCTACAACCTTGTGAAGTTGCACATGACATAGTTTTGCTAAATGTCACAGCTTTTGTGCAAAGAAAGTGTCACAGGCTCAGGGTTTTATTTGTATTTGTCTGAAGAATAATATTATAGCCAGTGATGCAGATGTCTGTTTAATGAGTAATTAACATCATACAATACCTTCTTTTCTCTCATGAATGTGCTTTAGAGGTGGACCAACATTGAAATGGGATAAAATGAATAAAAAAAAAAACAAACTGAAATGTTAGAACTTTAAATATACAGTCATATGTTTATATTACTGTTTTTGTGTATATATTTTTTTTATTGTTTTCAAGGCTGTACTTAAAAAATGTTTTGTTTACACTTGTTCACAAAATGACAAAATAAATCTGTCTAAGTCTATTTCTACAAGTGAAAAACTATTATAATAAAATAGAAAAATAAATAAATAAGGTGACATACATCCACTCTGTGTAGCTTCAACATTGCTTTTAATATTACTGTTTTGAAATAAACTTACAACTTTGATTTAAGTGTATGATTATTAAAATAGCAAAAAGGAAAACATTTTTCTACAACACAAAGCACATATTTCCACTACTAATATGTTGAAATGCTGTCAATTTTTTAAATAAATAAATAAATTTAGAAAATGGAGATTTTAGTCTGCAAAAGAGATTTGTAGTTATCCATCTCGCCGCTAGATGGCAGTAAACAGTCTGTGTCAACTGCAAAATAACATAAAACGTTTGGAGGTTCTGCAAAGTAAAACTAGTCTACATATATAAATGATCAAAGATCCACTGGACTAAATATGATAGATATATATTATTTGATCATTTCTAAGTTTTAAACAAACCCCGTATTCAATATTTTAAAGGGAATCTGCTATAATTACTTTAGATTCATAAAGCTTGTTTCTGATTAGTGAGGAACTGGACTTTTACCACTAAATAAGTAGGCTATATATGCTATGCATTTAACAACAGTATGTTGATCTGAACTTACAGCTCAATCAATGTCTTAATATTTAAAAAAATTTTTCATTTGATAATATTAGAACATGAAAAAAGATGAATAAAGAACATTCTTCAGACACAAGCACTGTTTCAGGTTATGGCTTTATTCCTGCTGGTGGTATTTGGTCAGTAGGCTGGACCAACACAGAAAACATACATAAAGATGACAGACAAGATACAGATATTAAAAAATAACATTTCTTTTATAATACAAACATCTCTAAATTAGACAAACTCTAGACAGAGTGATTATAAAACAGCAACAACATAATAATTAAAGCATAGTTTGGTCAGTTTTAATGCCCTTCACCTTCAGTTGGCAGTGTTGTCAGACTGACACTATAATTTAAAACAAAATTCACGTTGAAAATGACCTGTAAGTAAAATAATACAATTATGAAATTGAGAATAAACCAACAAACTATCTTTCAAAACATTTAATTGTTGCAAATGCAAACATAAATAACTTTATTCCATGATAATTAATACATAAACAGTAACATGGCTGCTTTATTACTGGAATACCTTCAAACTCCCTGATGTTTTCTTTACTAGAAGAAGGTAAAGATTTTTAATTTTATTTTTTTTTATACTCCCTTTAGGTTTTTGAGAACTCCCCCTGAACCTTGTGCCAAATTAACTTCAACCTTCAACTTTATTCGCAGGTGTTTTGCCTCAATTATTTGACCTGAGAGCATCTCTTTAAAAGTCTGTTTACTGAATTTATCAATTTCTGGAACTTTATCTAGGATTCCTCTGCTAAAAAGTTTAATTTATCAATTTCCTCTACTCCGCCACTAGTTTTCTCAGCCGCGTAATAACTTCCTCCGCGCTGACCCAGGGCACCGTCACCGCCTTGAACTCTCCAGGCATGGCTTCGTGGGTCTCCGTGATGAGCCGGTGCATGGGAAAGTCCCTCCGTGGGAAGGCTACGTCTCGGGGCCCCAGCGCGAGCGCAGGGCAGAAGTCGTTGGCTCCATCCCCCACATAGAAGATCCTCTGGTAAGGTCGGCCGCGCTCCTGCGTCCTGCGCGCCACGTAGTCCCTGACAACCACCTGCTTGCACATGTTGTCCGGGCACCGCTGGCACTCGTGGGAGTGGAACGGCCTCAGCACCAGTCGCCCGTTCTTGTTGAAAGTGGCCGGGTTGGTGAAGATCCGATGGAAGAGCTGGCGCACCCCGGCGCGTCGGAGCCAGGATTCAATGAAGAAGGTGTTTGCGTCGGACACCAAAACCACCTCGAAATCATGCGCCGGCCGGGTGCGCAGGAACTGGAAGAGGTTCAACATGCCGGGGGTGGCGGGGATCTTCTCCATGATGCTGCGTAAGTCGCTCTCTGTGACGCCCTGTTCCGCCAGGTAGGCCAGGACGCGCTGCATGTACTCATTGTAGCGGCCGGGCTGATAGGTGTCCTTCAGCCAGCCGGGCAGGTGCTGACCCGGGGCGGCCTGCACCACCATGTCGTCGCTGGTTTCATCCACGATGGTTTCGTCGAAATCAAAGAAGATTAGGAAGCGTTTATTGGAGGAGATGGAACCGGAATTGGAGGCCATGATCTTTGCGCACCGGGACCTTTGGTGATCCTGTTTGCCTGAGGGAAGAAAAACAGTTTAAAATCAAATCCGCAATGACTGATGATGTCACCAAAAGGTGTTCATGTGTTGCCTCCACCACTGCCCCACTATTTAGGATAATGCATCATAAAAGCATATAAAAGTATGCATTAAAACTTTTATTAGAAGAAGACAACCAATGGGAGCCCCAGGCAAACTACATTTCCCAGTTTTAGGCAAATATCATAGCCTACTTTACAAAAATGCAATTAAAGCAGTTCAGCCGGGTCACATCTGAGATTTTGATGCTTAAAATTAGGCTAAGTTACCTGAGTTGCAGGTTTTTTTTTTTTGGACTGGAAAAAGCCTAAAGGCTAAATTGGTGTAATGAGTTAAACAAGAAAGCAAAGGAAAACGTTATTGCGCTCTCAATTAGCGCTTAGAGCTCCAAATAATGCCTCTAAAATACACCTTATAATCATTTATAAGCTATCTGGAGTCATCTAAACATTATATCAACCAATTCACAGGAAACATCATCACAGGTCATCCAAACTGGACAGTCTACCTCTTAAAAAGTCAGTGGGTTATAATAAATAGTTTTCTAACGCATAATCCTTGTTATTTTTCTATCTCCAATATTGAAAAGATATGTTAAAATGTTTATAGGTTTAAAAAAAAAAAGAAAGAAGAAGAAGCTATAAATGCATCACCGGCACTGGTTCCGATCCGCGGCGGCTGGTCCGATCCGGTGTGGTTGGTAACAGGAGGCGGCAGAGCTCTGGTTCACGCGCTTTTATGTGCAGAGCCGCTGAGCGCGCGCCCGCGCCTTCAAGTCCGCCCATTTAATGGCAGCCCACAGGGCGCGTTCACGACACGTTCATCAAATGACAGAGTAGGTTGGAGTAAAGGAAGGGAAAATGGGAATGTTCTGTTTGCAGAATATTTTACATATGAAGAGCATTTTTCTCATATCGCTCAAGGGGCCACATTCGCTATATTTCTTGTTCAGGTTTAACTCAGATTACAAACATATCAGATCTATCTGTTTGTGAAACATTCACAAGCCATTTCTAAATGATTTAAACACTTTAAACTTCACATTTAGCCAACCTTGAATGTATTTGAATGTGTTTTATTTGGAAGCAGAGCGTAATCGAAAAGTGGACGGAAAAGGATTCAGACTTTTATTTGGAAAGGTTTTGACGATTTTAAACAAATATAATCTTAAAACCTGAAGTGTGGCATCATCTGTATTCTTCCAGATTCATTTTGGTGCAAGTCTGGAGATCACCTTGCCTTTCACATTTAGAAAGGAAAATATTTACCCATTTCTTCTTTTAAAATTTCCTTTAGGTTGAATAAGATAGCATCTGTTACCATCAATTTACAAGTATTGTAAAATATTTTTCATTGTTTTTTTTGCTTGACTTTTACCAGGCCATTGTACAATGGCGTAACGACACAACAATAGGCCTGTAAGCAACATTATCTGGGTGGGCCCTATACGAAGTACAACACAGTTTGAAACATATTATATGAGTGTATTTTTTACCAGCCGTCTAATGAACTATACACAGTTATTAACATAGTAATTAAAAGCACCACTGTCTGCTTTGCTATTGGTGTCGTGTTTAAACGGCTCACCATCATGTTGAAATCTGCCATATGTTGGGGTATAAATATGGTCCGGTCAGTCAAACTAGTATCAGGTGGTTGTAAGAGGAATTTTTCGCACCATTACATCTGCAAAGAGACGTCCTAGACTACAATTGCATAGGGGGCCAACTAGGGGCCCCTAAGCAACTGCAGTCTCTGCTTACCAACAGTTACGCCATTGCCATTGTATCACATAAGCATATTTTCCTGTAAACCATTTAGTTCCATTGGCTGTATGTTAGAGTCCTCCCTCTGCTGAAAAGTTTAAATCTCTTATAGTTTCAGGTCTTCTGCAGCCACCATAAGGTTTTCTTCCAGGATTGCCCTATAATAAGCTCCATTTACCCTTCAATAAACCCTCACCAGCTTTCCTGTGTCTACTAAAGAAAAACATCCCCACTGCTGGTCAAAATAAGGCCAGAAGATGATATTTTTATTACAGAGCAGCTTCCTTCAATTTGTTGTGTCCCTTTCATCACCTGAGCTGTTCAGACCATTGCAGCTCCTCAAGAATTTCTTTTCCTTCCATATCTTAGAAGACCCTATTGCCTTTTTGTGTGACTAATTGAACATTATCTTCAAAATATTGTTTTAACACTTTTAAAACCTCCCTAAAATCCCCAACCTGCCTGCTTTCTCCTTGGTCTTGATAAGGATGCATGTTAATTAGTGTCCTCTAAGAAACATTTGAAGCTTCCAAAGAAAATAGAGAAGAAAATGGAGAAACTGTATTAACTTAAGGGTAAAGGCTGGAAAAAAAGGACCTGCATACTTTATATTTGTAGCGTGAAATAAAATCAACAATCATTGGTTTCCAACAGCAGAGTTATGTAAATAAAGGAAATGTACTTTTATTAGGAAAAGATGAAATAGAGCCAAAAAATACCCTTTTGGTTGCATGAGCACAAATATAAAAGATAACACTTTCAGAAATGTGTGATGAAAAGGAAAAATTTGATTGGCAGAATTTAAGCAACCTAATAAAATCTGTACATGATCCCTGCTCTAGAAAAGTTATAGATGTGTGGCATTACTTAGAAATGCATCTTTTAGTTGATAAAAAAAAAAAACTATCCATTTCTATCCATCCATTTTCAGACACACTTAATCCCAAGTGGGGTCAAGAGGGGTGCTGGTGCCTATCTCCAGCTGTAGACGGATGAGAGGCGGGGTCCATCCTGGACAGGTCACCAGCCCATCTCAGGGCAACAAAGAGAATTTAGAGAAGCAAATTAACCAATTAACAGTCATGTTTTTAGACTGTGGGAGGAAGCTGGAGTACCTGGAGAGAACCCAGGCATGCACATTCCATGCAGACAGGGAATCGAACCTGGAACCTTCTTGCTGCAAGGCAGGAGCGCTACCCACTGCGACACTGAGCAGCCCTGGAATCTTATTTGTTAGGTTGGTTCAAGAATGTAAGAGTTAAAATGCGTTTTGTCTTGGTAAAGCTGTTATAACATGACAGGGATGGCTGAAGATGCTTGGTTTCACACAACCAGATGACTAGATGATTTAATAGGAATCAAATTCTGAAATAATGTTATTTATTCATTTACTAACTACTGAGAAACATCAGGAAGTCCATGTCCGCTGCTCGCTCCTCCTGATAAAACCCTGCAAGTACACTGATTAATGAAGCGCACAGGAACGTAGAGAGGAGCGAACACACACGGCTGAGAAAGACAACATGAAGCCCTCTTCTCTTTATCTGCCTGCCGACAGACGTAGCCTCCTCCCTCCTCGACACCAGAAGGCGTAATGACTAACAGCTGGGGAGGCCGACTATTTTCAAACCCAAATGGGAATGGAGATGTACAGACGACGTGTTATTATCTCCTCTGCTCGTGAATTGAGCCCCGGTACCTGGCCACCCACACACCAACAGTGAGTCACATACACTTTTCTCTGCACCCATCGGCCTTTTTTGCTACCTATAGGATTATGACTCATTAGAAGCACCTGGTAAAGAGAAAGCAGGTGTCCCACTGGCAAGAATATATATAAGAAAATAGGGATACACATTTTATGCACTAGAACCGCCTGTTGAGGTTACCTTAAATGATGATGGCCTAAATCTTTAAACTGTCAGAATTCATTTTTTTTCTTTTATAATGTTTAGAGGAAAAAGAGGACCCTAAAACTACAAATCGAGACTCAAAGGCGAAACATTCCTCACATTTAACACAGAAGATTAGGTAACAGGTTTTGCCAAAATCCCAAGGAACCTAAAATAGCAGGAAAAAGACCAGCGCTGAACCGAGAGTTTCTGACAATCTGCAATAATCCACGCTTTGGAGCAAATCACTGTGTGAAACACACTTAAACTGAAGCATTTAATCAGGAACATGCTGTGCGCAATCCTTGCTTTTAAGGCCAAGGTAAACTAAAAAGTATACTTTTTCATTTTCTACATAAAGACAAGCTTTAGAAAACGAATTACACCCAATAATCTAATGATTGAAATAAGCACAGTTTGCTGTAAAGACTTAAAAGTTTTCTGTACAACTTCATTTTAAACCTTGAATCTTTTCTTTTTCTAGTTTTCTGTTACAGAGCTGCTCATGTTTTGATGTTTTTGCCACTGATCACCCAGCTTAGGAGTCTGACAGACATCCTCACACTAGACTCATTTGAGCTCCCATAATGTCAGTTTAACAAAAAAAAAAAAAAAAGCTAGAAACTGATATTCTGGCTCCAGATTTCTTGTTATCTTCCAAGTTACATGTTCTCTGTTAGTTAGATGTAGATACTGAAAGAAGCAACATTTCTTTTAGATCAAGATGTGCTTAGAAAGCCATAAACACCACAGCAGCACTGTTCTTCACACTTTAAGACATTTTACTGATATGCTCCGATTGATTTTCTCCTAACTGCTCTGCTATGTAAACATCTCTGCTCCTCTCATCTGTTCAAAGGACACAGTTCCAGAAGTTAAGGGGTTCATTAACACATGCAGCTTTAAAAGTCCTTACATTTTGTTGTTCAATTAAAGTACTTTAATGATCCCAAAGGGAAATTAAAGGCTTTATATTTTTAATGAGTTGTAGGTGTGAAGGATCTCTTGTAATGTAGTACGTCTTATAGCAGATCTGGAGAAGCTTCTGACTGAAGGGGCTCTGTTGTTCTGAAGAGGATGCCCGGGGCTGTCCATGATGTTCTGCATTTTATGAAGAACAAACATTTTAAAATCATCTCCAGAGGTTCTACAGGAGCTCCCAGAACAGAGGCAACCTTCTTTATGAGCTTGTTAACCTTTTTTTTAGTCGTTTGTTCCGTTTCTCCAACAGATGACGGCAGAAAAAATAATTTTCTCCACAACATACTTATAGAGGATATGCAGCATTTTACACACAAATGTTAGGATTTAGGAATATTCTTTCAAACATCCATATGTTGGTCGGCTTATCATGCTAACTGATGTTGCACTTCACTGGGAAAATAAGTTTTCAACTCCTGTAATTGCTAAAATCTTTCCTGCTTGGTATTGTTTTACACACCTATATGCTAAACGACAGATAAGGGAACCATAGATGTCCAATCAGTTAATTAATTCCTGCGTTATTCAATTATTGAGAAACTGCAAAGGTGTTATTTTACACTTACAGCTTCTCCTTTTTGACATTGTCAGTGTTTAATTCATGCAGCACTTACATGTTTTTTGGTTGCTCCCCTTAAAGAGACATTATGTATATTTTTAATAAAAAACATTTTTAAAATAGCCTTTTTATTTGACCCTTTACGACTAAAACATCGTTTGATGAGCAGACTGACACTTCAGTAGTTCAGCACTGATGCCCCTATAAGCCTGTAGCCGATTTTCTTGAATTTACTTCAGGTCTGAACCTCCTGCTGTTTCAGCAGATATGAAGTCAAGCACGTTCACATCAAATGGGTCCAATCTAGCCACACATAGGATTTGGTATCAAGATGGATTTTATGGATACCCAGAAGTGACTGGCATCCAATTCAACTCTGACAACAACAGCAACTGCACATAAGGTGAAGAGAGAGAGAAAAAAAGCTTATCAAGTGCCCGGGGGCATATGATGGTCAACATCAGACATGCATTTATACAGATTTAAACAATTTTATAACCTGGTAGGGACAAGGAGCCCGTATTCACAGAGTCCTTTG